ACCATGTTTGAAGTACAGAGAGAGTCTTACAAAGAAAACAGCCTATGTGTCTGCCCAGTGAGGCCACCACAAAATGCCTGTTATATAACTGGGGGCCCTCATTGGTGCCCAGGGATGAGGAGGTGGAAAGTGGGGGTTGCTAGGAAGCCCTGCATGATTGACTGGGCCCCAAGCAAAGAAAGGCGAGTACACTGGAAGCATGCCCTGTTGACTCCTTTTACGCCTAGTGGGCTACCTTGTAGGTCCATTGAGTCCTTCTGCATACACGCCTGTCCTGACGTAGACTGGCTACACTGACATGTGAGTCTGCCACCCGCAACTCCCCCCGACTCCAGGCAGCTTGGCTCCTTTTACATAATCATTTGAATTTCACTAAAGCTGGCAGCTGGTTTCTCCTTCAGTATTAGGTTGCCAGGCGCCCAAACTCCAGGCTGATCTGTTTACTCTAAAGCTCTTGATATGCTAGTCCTTGAACTACTTTTGGAAGCAGAAGCATCATTAGTAACACCCTCTCTATTCTTGTGTTTTACAAAGCTCTTCTTACATCCTTTTCTATTAGAGGTAAACTTGAGTAGATACCTCTACTGTAGGAACTCTGGATCATTTGAAGATAATCTGTGCCTTTTTTAGGATGACTAGAACGTGCCAGGTAAGGGAGGGAATCCTCACCTGGCATCTTGGAATTTATTTGGTCTGTGTTTTGGAAGTAAGTAGTACATCCAGGGAATGCCATTTACCAACCCCCATCATTATATTCTTTCTTTTCCCTTCACCATTCTTATGTTCTTTTAGTATTCTTTTTCCTTGTCTTGCCCTTTTGCCTGACAGTACAGGCATTTCCTTGGTAAGATGATCACCTCTGTTTTAGAAGCCTTTTGGAACTCCAGTAGGGTTCCTGAGTCATACTCAACCCCTTCCTCCTCTTGCAGTGTTGTTGCATCCTACTTTTAAACTGTCTGTCATTCTAATAGATTCCTCTTCCTAGGTCATATTTATTCAGGGTCTCTGTCCTTTTTATATTCTCTCAAATCCAGTCTCCTTGTACTTTTTATATTATATATCCAATCTTTTTCTTTCAGGGGCTTTTTTCTATATTTTCTCCAGTATACTACTCTCTAGTCCAAAAAGCAACCTTCATTAGACAGTATTAAACACAAGTCTCAGCAGAAATAAATGTTTACATGCTTAGATCATTTTTTTCTTCCAGTGTCCTGTATCGGCTTCCATTTCTTCTTTATTCTGATTGAAGAGTCTAGCCCAGCTCTTCACTCCCTCTTTTACCCATGGATACTGCAACAATTTGTCTTCTGAAATTGGTGGTTTTTGTTTGAGAAGCAGAATACTGTTGTAGAGCACTTTACTACTGAATTCTGCTTATAGTTCCATTTTGTGATCTTGGGCAGGTCAGCCTCTCTGAACTTCAGTTTCCTAATCTATAAAAAGAGGACATTATTTGCCTAAACACTTTCATAGGAGTGTAGTTACAGATTTGATCTCTAACCTTAGAAAGGACACAACCCAATGAGGGGTTCAATATAATACTGTTTGACCAGTGCTATAAAAGAGACATTAGCCGAGCGTGGTGGTTCACACCTGTAATCCCAGCACTTTGGAAGGCCGAGGTGGGTGGATCACCCGAGGTCAGGAGTTCGAGACCAGCCTGGCCAACATGGTGAAACCCTGTCTCTACTAAAAATACAAAAATTATCCAGGTGTGGTGGTACGCCCCTGTAATCCCAGCTACTTAGGAGGCTGAGGCAGGAGAATTGCTCGAACCTGAGAGGCGGAGGCTGCAGGGAGCCAAGATGGTGACACTGCACTCCAGCCTGGGCAACAGAGCGAGGCCCTGCCTAAAAAAAAAAAGAGAGAGACATTAACAGTGTGCCATGGTGTGGGTTGTCCCTGGACCATCAGCAGCAATATCAGGTGGGAATTGTTAGAAATGCAAATTCTTGGCCCCCTACTCTAGGCATACAGAATCAGAAACTGGCACAGCAGTCTGTGGTGGTCTTTGAAATAGGGTTTCACAGCCGAGCACGGTGGCTCATGCCTGTAATCCCGGCACTTTGGGAGGCCCAGGCAGGCAGATCATGAGGTCAGAAGTTCAAGACCAGCCTGACCAATATGATGAAACTCCGTCTCTACTAAAAATACAAAAATTAGCTGGGCATTATGGTACGTGGCTGTAGTCCCAGCTACTCGGGAGCCTGAGGCAAGAGAATCACTTGAACCCGGGAGGCAGAGGTTGCAGTGAGCCGAGATTGTGCCACTGCACTCCAGCCTGGGCAACAGAGCGAGAGTCTGTCTCAAAAAAAAAAAACAAAAAGCCAGTTGCAGTAGCTCACGCCTGTAATCCCAGCACTTTGGGAGGCTGAGGCAGGTGGATCACCTGAGGTCAGGAGTTCGAGACCAGCCTGGCCAACATGGCGAAACCTTGTGTCTACTAAAAATAACAAAAATTAGCTGGGCCTGATGGCGGGTGCCTGTAATTCCTACTTGGGAGGCTGAGACAGGAGAATTGCTTGAACCCAGGAGGCAGAGGTTGCACTGAGCCGAGATTGCACCATTGCACTCCCGCCTGGGCAACGAGAGCGAAACTCCGTCTCAAAAGAAAGAAATAGGGTCTTGCTTGCCCAGGCTGGAGTGCAGTACCACGATCATGACTCACTGCAGTCTCAATCTCCCAGGTTAAAGCAATTCTCCCATTCTCCCACCTCAGCCTCTCAAGTAGCTGGGAGTGCAGGTGTGTGTGCCACCATGTCTGGCTAATTTTTTATTTTTTGTAGAGATGGGGGTCTCACTATGTTGCTCAGGCTAGTGTCAAACTCCTGGGCTCAAGCGATCCTGCCAGCTTGGCCTCCCAAAGTCCTGGGATACAGGTGTGAGCCACCATGGCCAGCCAGCAATCCCTGTTTTAACAAGCTTTCCAGATGACTACTGCATGCTAAAGTTTGATTTCACCTGAACTAGTTTACAGCTGTGATAACAATTGATTTGGGCCTTTGAGGAACAAGTAGGATTTCATCAGGAAGAAAAAGAAAAGAATGATATTTCAAGTAGAGGGAATATCATGAGCAAAGAAAAAACAAGTATGTAGGATGCCTGTAGAACTGCATATACTTAAGTGTGACTAGAGCATTGGCATTATAGGGCAGGTGTTTTGTTTTTGCTTTTTGACACGGAGTCTCCATCTTTTGCCCAGTCTGGAGTGCAGTGCCTTGATCTCGACTCACTGCAACCTCCACCTCCCAGGTTCAAGCTATTTTCCTGCCTCTGCCTCCCAAGTAGCTGGGATTACAGATGGGCACCACCATGCCCAGCTAATTTTTGTATTTTTAGTAGAGACGGGGTTTCACCACGTTGGCCGGGCTTGTCTCGAACTCTTGACCTCGAGTGATCAGTAGGGCAGGTTATTAAAGATAAAGATATATATATAGGGTGCAGTTGTTCAGGCTTTGAGCTTAGACTAGTAGTTCCAAAATCTGTCTGTACATTGGAATCACCTGGGAAACTTAAAAACCTGCTCATGTCCCTTTCCCTCTCCTTTGTGATTTAATTAGACTGGGGTGTGGCCCAGGGTTTGGAATGTTTAAAAGATCCCTGGGCAGTTCTAATGTGCAGATGATTCTGGGAACTTTAGTGGCTTAGGTCATTCTGTACATTAGGAAAGATTTTTTAGCACCAGAGTAACATGATCTGATTTGTTTTAGGACAATAATTGGTATAGGAAAAGAGTGGAAATAGGGCAACCTACGTATTCACACTTCAGATAAGTTGTTCTTTAGGATTCCTTCATAACCACTTTCTTGTTCTCATGTTCAGGTTTAATGCCTCTTGTGAGTTTTTGTTTTGTTTTTCCTTGAGACAGAGTCTCTGTTGCCTCGGCTGGAGTGCAGTGGCACCATCTCTGCTCACTACAGCTTCCACCCCGAGTTCAAGGGATTCTCCTGCCTCAGCCTCCTGAGTACAAGCGCCCACCACTATGTCCAGCTAATTTTTGTATTTTTAGTAGAGGCGGGGTTTCACCATGTTGGACAGGCTGGTCTTGAACTCCTGACCTCAAGTGATCTTTTTGAGATGGAATTTCGCTCTTGTTGCCCAGGCTGGAGTGCAATGGCGCAACCTTGGCTCATTGCAACTTCTGCCTCCTGGGTTCAAGCATTTCTCCTGCCTCAGCCTCCTGAGTAGCTGAGAGGGACTACAGGTGCACGCCATCATGTACAGCTAATTTTTGTATTTTTAGTAGAGACAGGGTTTCACCATATTGGTCAGGCTGGTTTCGAACTCCTGACCTCAAGTGATCGACCCGCCTTGGCCTCCCAAAGTGCTAGGATTACAGGCATGAGCCACTGTGTCCAGCTTTTTTTTTTTTTTTTTTTGAGTCAAGGTCTCACTCTGTTGCCCAGGCTAGAATGCAGTGGTAGGATCTCAGCTCACTGCAGCCTCGAACTCCCAGGTTCAATTGATCCTCTCACCTTAACCTCCTGAGTAGAGGGGACTACAGGCGTCTACCACCATGCCTGGCTAATGTTTGTATTATTTGCAGAGACGGGGTTTTGCCTTGTTGCCCATGCTGAAATTTTTTTTTTTCTTTTTTGAGACAGGGTCTTACTCTGTCACCCAGGCTGGAGTACAGTGGTGCAAACATGGCACACTGCAGCTTCCGTCTCCCCTGGGCTCAAGTGATGCTCCCACCTCAGCCTCCTAAGTTGCTAGCACTACAGACACATGCCATGTTGCCTAGGCTGGTCTCAAACTCCTGGGCTCAAACAATCTGCTCACCTTGACCTCCCAAAGTGGTGGGATTACAGGCATGAGCCACTGTACCTGGCCCACAGATTCTTATTGAGGCTTCTGTAAGTAGGCAGTTAATGCTCTATTGTCACCATTTCCCACTGTAATTTTTATAAATACCAGTTGTTTGGCCAATCGACTTCTGACTATTTGCTAAACTGGGAAAGAGTAATGATGATCCCAAATGTCTAACCTCATTGCTTGCCTTTATACAGAATCCTCACTATGGATGGGCTCATTGAGGACATTAAACGTCGGCGGTATTATGAGAAGCCATGCCGCCGGCGACAGAGGGAAAGCTATGAAAGGTGCCGGCGGATCTACAACATGGAAATGGCTCGCAAGATCAACTTCTTGATGCGAAAGAATCGGGCAGATCCGTGGCAGGGCTGCTGAGGCCTGTGGATGGGACACCCAGTGTGAAACCCTCATCCAGTTTTGTCTCCATCTCTTTTCTTTGTACAATCCCATTTCCTAAACTCAAATCACATGTCTGCAAAAAGGCCTCCAAATATAGAAACAATTCAATTAGTCAGCAGTGGACCCTGTCTTTTATTAAGTGAAAGAAAAAACTGAGTCTGAAAGTAGTCTAGGAGTAGAATGGTGTTTGCTGGAGCTGGAGGAGGGGACAATGAGGAATTATTGTTTAATGGGCACAGAGTTTCAGTTTGAGCAGATGAAAAACTTCAGGAGATGATGGCCAGGCACGGTGGCTCATACCTGTTATTCCAACACTTTGGGAGGCTGAGGCGGGTGGATCACTTGAGGCCAGGAGTTTGAGACCAACCTGGCCAATGTGGTGAAACCCCATCTCTACTAAAAATACAAAAAAAAAAATTGGCTGGGTGTGGTGGTACATGCCTGTAGTCCGAGACACTTGGGAGGCTGAGGCAGGAGAATTGCTTGAACTGGGGAGGCGGAGGTTGCAGTGAGCCAAGATCATGCC